AAAAAAGAAGCAAGTTTAAATGGGTCCACGCTTAAGTTCCGAAGAACGTGAACGGGAAAATGCTGATGATAAAAGAAGATTTGAATCAATACAGCGAACAAAACAAAGAGATTGAGAACATCTTCTATAAGAACAAGACTATTATTGCGAATCGTTATAAGGATAAGATAGAAGAAATGCATCTATTTGAATGTACGACTCTCTTCTAGCAGTCAAACCTCGTATATGACAAGTAGCATCGAAAGAAGTGACGTACGAACGATGGTTGGAGATCGAATGAGAAAAATCATTTATTCGTGAAGAATCACGTTTGTGGCATCTCTTATCGGCTAGTATAAGAACAGTTCATAAACTAAGAGAGTTTCAATTCAAATTACAATCCGACTGTACCTCGAGACTAAAAACATTATCTAACGAAGATCGTAAACTTGGGATTGATTTTACTCGTTGTCATGTGGATTTTCCATAGTTAAACAATGTCCCATCTACTACACAATTACTGCAGTCTCCGAGTTGTACACTTAAACGTAGACAACTGCTAAGCATTTTCTCGTGAACTGTGGTCTACATAGTGAACATAGAAAAAATTATTTGATCTATTAGCTGGGTTGCTAGATGTTGATCACATTTCTCTAGATTATATTATGTTGCGTGATGATAGAATAAAATCCCTTCGTAAAGAAGATTTTCTTTTAGTCCATGAAGCTATTCTTGCGTCTGTTGGACAGACAGATCGATTTCGGATATCCATGATTTGTCTTCATCTGGTTTGCAACTATTGTGAAAAATCATCGCACTTGAAAAATTCTAGCTTAAAAAGATAGATATAGGCGATAAGCAGTATAGAAAAGACCAACAATATACAGTGGATCCAACAATTATTGATGCACCTTTGTTTTTCATTTTTTTCATCAACTATAGTCGCTAGAACAAATTTGACAAACTATTTGAACAGCTGGAAGAATTTCCAGTCTGATGTGATGTATATAAAAGTTTCGTCGAAACTTCTGAAAGTAATGTCTTGAAAAACCAATATCACAGAATCCAAGTCCGCGAGTTCGATCTAGAAATTCTTCGCAAGAATTTTATCATATAGTGCAAACATTTGTGAACAAAATAATAGGTCTTCGAGCCCTCTATGACCTTTTTTCATGACACAGTATTCAGTTTACGGAAGGCCCCATGCCACCACAATCAGCAGAATGAACGGGGAAACAAGAAAGTTCCGTCTTTAGGACCTTTCATAAATTGAATGATGTTTCATGGAAAAATGTCACTATAGACTAGAAAAACACAAAAAACGTAGAAGAACAAATATATTTGAAAATCATTGAGTATTATTTTGCAGAAGCGTTGCATTTTTTTCTTCATGGCAACCTTTTTTCTTTTCTGTTATTTATTACAGCTTACAATTAAGTCAATAACACTGGGTTAATCAACGCAAATTTTCCTGCGAAGTGATGATCTATCACTTCATTTCAGAATAAACAATCGTTGAGAATGATGAAACATAGGAAATACTCACGCAGACTACATTGCAAGGGGAAAGCACGGAATCCTGAAATTCTATGAAATCTAGTAGAATCCGGCGGAATCTGGTAAACTCCTATAGAATCCGATGGAATCTGGGATTCTACACTTCTCTTGAAACACAACAAAAGTGTTCTATATTTTCGGAAACTTTTCCCCAAAACAGTACAAAATATGTTCTGTTTTGAGAGGAAAGTTCCAGGGAATCCAAGGGAATCTTATGGATTCCAAGAGATTCCTATGGAATCATGGGGAATCCTTGGAATCATAGAGAATCCTTGGAATCCAGGAGAATTCAGGATTCTAGGATTCCGTGCTTTCCCCCTTGCTACATTGACATAAATAAAAATTTGACAATCAAATAATAAAATATTCACTTATTTGTCTATACCGATCTACAATCTACATACTGTAGAAAATGTTCACAGGCTTCTTTTACCTGGAGAGCTTTTTTTGTTTAAGCGAATGCCAGCTTTTCGACAACAAATTAACTTTCGTTAATTACCGAAACGATGTTATGCTTTACTCTTACCTCTATGTTTTCGTTTTGATGGTTTACTCCGATAACTGAAAGAAAATAGAATTTGATAAAACAGCAGTAAAATATTGACGTTAATATTTATTTCTTATGTTCTATTGCTATTTAGTCTACGCGCCTAAAAGAGAAATAGGTTTTTTCATTTTTATCTTCATTCTCTCTTTTCTTTTGAATATTGGTTATGCATTTTTGTTCCGTTTGTTCCGTTTTTTGTTCATTTAAATTCGATTAAGAGTATTTGACTAGTATAATTTTACTGTAAACACAAAATATTCATAAACTCCAAATATTTTCTATAAGGGGTACTTCCAAAGGTTTAGGAAAACTTTTGAAACAAAATGTCCCAAAAATTTTCCATTCGAAAATAATATTAGTTTAAAAATTTTTCCTAAACTTTTGGAAGTACCCATCGCCAAAAATGGTAAACGGCAACTTGCCCTCAGCAAAGTGTCCCCCAGACATTTACCCCCCGGATTTTTACTCGACGGATATTTGCTTCCGTTGGACAGTTGCTCCCCGATGGACATTTGCTCCTCTGACAGTTGCCCTCCGTCGATCAAAGCGGACACTTCCCCCTTCTTGCGGAGAGCAGTTTTCTCTCAATTATTTTCACGAACCATCAGGTCTTCTAGTTAATTTAGCATCTTTTTTGTTTGTTTTGAATATTGCTAACAGTATTGTATTGAAAAAGTCCTAAATTGTTTGCTTGCTAGCAATAAGTCTGCGTGTAAATATTTGAAATAATTTATTGAAACTATTTTTTGACTCAGATTATTGTTGTTTGAAGCTTGTGATAATATATTTGTAAATATTGATATTTAGAAAAGAATGAATACAAATAATCAGACAGAAAAGGCCATTACGGTTGTATCGCATCAAGAACCAACTAAAACATTATTGAATCATCGACTTCTAGGTCCATGTCTGCTACGAAAACAGATGCTAAATTAAATGGAAGAGTTGATCATTCGCGAACATAGTTGAGAGAAAAGTATTCTCCACAAATGGCGGGGGAAAGTGTCCGCTTTAATCGCTTTCCGTGGAGGCAAGTATCCGGGAGGCATCTTACCAGGGGGCAAGTTGCCAGGATTCGCCAAAAATAGAAAATCTTTGAGGTTATCGAGTGTGCTGAATACGAAAAAGTACTTTTCAGCAACTGAAACCAACTTTATCGTTCTTCCGGTGATCTTACACAATTTTAGTTATTTCATTTGTAACTTTCTTTGTCACTGACGACAATACTGCATTGTGAGAACTCCTCCGAACAATCCCTAAAGAAAGGATGGAACTGAAAGGCTGTACGCTAGAAATACATTTATTACGAGTCGCACAGTGAAAGCATGCTGGATCTAAGGCGACACCATCGATCAGTTAATGGATGTCGTATCGGTGTAGAAACATCGACCACTTGGCGTAGATGCATGTGCTGTCTTTCCTCTATCAAATATTTCACAGCTCAATAAACGTTTTTCTAAAAAGCGATCATCAGTCGTTTTTGCGTACTCAAACACTACCTTTATCAGCAAAAGCCAGATTCTAAATCTGTAATATTTTGTGAGGCGGAAGTCCATTGCTATTGACCGTTCCGGGAAAAAAAGCAGAAAGTCACACAGACAAATCAGTTGATCTTGTGAACAATTACATGTATGGATCCAAGTGAAAAAATCATGAAAAGCTCAGAAAACGCGTTTTTCTTCCAAGAACCTACCCTTCAGTAGCCTACAGTTTCCAACAATAATTTATTCATCTAACATAATTTGAAAGAGCATGCTTCCCTACATATTCCTGAAAAGTCATTAAATAGAAAGCCTTTCCTAAAGTACCTGAAAAAAGTAAATTAAAAAAATTAAATCTTTTCGAAATCTTCATTTTAAAACTTGAATATCTCAGCTAGCATACAACAAAAAATTAAACTTCTTTTTACCATTCGATAGCCAATTTAATTCTCTACAACCGTTATAAGATCAATGTTTCCAAACAATGCTTTCTTAGTCTTTTATAACAATAATGCCGATTTCCATTCAAATGGACATTGGGCTTTAAAGGGTTAAGCGCTTGACGTGATAATTCGCGACTTAAAAACTTAATAGAACCAACTGTTCTTCCAGTTGAAGTTAATATATTGTCTATATGTGATGTCCAGTCAAGATCAGATGTCAAGGTTAGTCTTAAAAGTTTGTGCTCGTCTACGTAGTCTAAAGAGATATTATTCATTGTTAAAGAAGGTGTATTAGTATGTGTAGTTCGTGAGAATAACATTCCTAGACACTTGTTGATGTTTAATGGTAGAATCCAGTCAATTGACCACTTATGCACTAAAACTAGATCTTTAGTCATTTCTGTCACTGCTGCGACCACATCCTTAGCATCTACGTAGATGGAAACATCGTCAGCAAACAGGAAGCATAAATTGGATAGTGAATCTGCCGTAAAGACGTTTAAAGATGATACGCTCGAATATTTTAGATACAGAATTTAAAAGAGTTATTGGACGATAATTAGAGGTTATTTGAGAATCACCAGATTTTATATAGAGGACAAATATATCCCAGCTTCCAAGAGGTAGAAAATTGTCCAGTGTCTAATGATTCATTGAATAGATATGTTAATATTAGTGCAACAAAGATAGCTGCTTCTTTAATCATGCGGTTGGTTATACCTGGCGAACTCGCTTTTGAAATGTCTATTTTTGATAAGAGTTCATAAACTTCGGTTTCATAAATATGAGAAACTAATATTTTTATACGCGGTTTTGCCAAAACAGAAAAGGTATGACTTTGATTTATTGATATGCAAACGCTAGAAAAAAGGTTTATTCAATAAATTTGCCTTATCAATTGGTTTCGTAACTACATTATTAGAAATATTGTCTAACAATGGAGGAGTAGAAGATTGACTATGGTGTTAATAGTCATAACATAACTTGCTTAGCTTATAAAAAAAAATCATCGATGCTAACTTCAACAGATAACGTTCGAATGCGCTGACCTCGTGTGTATGTTTGAACGTTTTCGTATAATCTTGATTCTTTATTTGGTTGTTTGTAAACATGAACGACAAAATGAACAAGATCAACGATCCAGAACTCAAGTATATCATGTTCCACGTATATCTGATATTTTAATTCACGATCAATATTAAGCGATGATAAAGCCACTTCAACGAGTAATCGAACGTTCTTGGATGTGGGATGATTTAACATCATTGATTTAGCATCATATCCTTCGAGCACACTTATGTCCGGTTCTAACATATTTTCAGAAAATATAACGGAATTTGCTTTTGTAACTACGTATTGGGTTGAATTTAATAGCCGAAGAAGAAGAAAATGCAGAAGACGAGTAACGTTGGCGTGTAGTGGATTGCAAGACATTTTCTCCGAAAAACGTCCGTTGATGAAATCGCCATGTTTACCTGAAATTAAATACAAGATGTGCGAGATAGAAGTAATTGCTTTGAAAATAGCAGTTGAAAACCAGTGAAGCAAAAGTAATCGACTTATAATGGCATCCTTGAAAGTATGCATTTAAACACGGTGTTTAGCATAACAAAATTTTCCAGCGATATTTTTCGAAATTACTGATAAACTTACAAAAATAACACCTTCCTGCATCAAAACTGCAATACGGATGCATTTTGCGAACGTATTATTGAATTTTGAGCTGTATCAGATATTATAAGTCCTTTTTATTCCTACACTATAAAAATAGTAAGTCACCATTACCTGCGAAATGTCCGTTGTCAACTAACGTCAGAAATTCTGACAGAGTTAATTTCTTTTCCATTTAGACAAAACGAGTAATTAAAAGATACGAAATGTCAGCTACTATTAGTAGAACGTGTAGATCTGACTGACACGGGATAAATCGTCAATTAAAAAAATGTGGATTTCAATTCACCCCAAGAAAGCAACACAAAGACAATCACCAGCGCTCTATCTCCTGAATGACTGTTCAGTTCTACTCCTCTTGTTTCTTTCTTTGTTGACTGCGAAGAAATAGTAATTGGCTCTAGTGAGAACTCATCATATGCCTCTTCTTGTTATGTGGGAAACAATCCGTTACAGTGTCTGCATTAAACCATGATTAACCTGCTGTTATTGAGAAAGTTTCGGAAAAACCTGACACAGACAGTTCTGGTTATTTTCTCCTGTCAGCTAGATGTCGCTATTCGCCACAATGAAAATCAAAACTTTTGATTGGTTATTAATGATTAATACTTCTTTCGGTTCTACGACAACTGGTCGAATGACAGTTGGTCGAACGACAACTGGTCGCAGACAACTGGTCGAACTGACAACTGGGCTCTACGACAATTAGTCGCACGGTAGAATTGGTCGTATGCATAACATTAACTACCAAAGGAGTATTATAATTACTAAATAAGGAAGAATTCAGACAGATAT